AGTGCTTTCTTGAGACCAGCTCCAAATGCAATACTTCTGATAATTATTTTGAGCCATGCGGGAACGATATGATATTTGATATAATAACAGCCAAGAGCAATCGAGTGTACAACACTGCCACTACTGATTTCTCTCACTTGATAGCCCATGTAAATAGAATGCTTCTGCGTCTATTCTATGCAAGGCTTAGGATTCCCCCAAGACGGACTGGCTTAAACTAAAGGCACTGAGCAACTGACGAGGCAGTCAAGGCCGGAGCACGTATACTGCAGTGTGTGAGTGCCCAAAACTGACCACATGCATGGCTCAATAATCACTATCAAGCTCAAAAGTAGTGGGACGAAAGCAGCGATCCAGGCAGGTGAGACGCCTTCGAAGGAAGATATATATATATATATATATATGTATATATATATATATATGTATATATATATATATATATATATATAAATGGATGTACAATGATATCGAAATTCGTATAGGTGGTAGGAATACAGAACACAGAATTGTGAGTTCACAGTTCACTAGTTCCATGACGCAGAAGACTACTTTTTCAAGCAAATTGAGAAAGATATAAGAAGAAATTACCGTAGAGTTTGCGTTGGAACCCTTTTTGTCCGACTTTACAGTTCTTCGTCTGCCATGGTCAGCAGCTTCCAAGGATGGCGGGCTCTAAATAATTGCTGTCAAAAAGCAGAATAATCAGTAAGTGCCTCAGTCTGACCTTCGCGAATCTCTTATTTTCTTGCTTATATCTAAAATAGTAAGCATTCTAATTAGTTTTATAAGGATTAACTCTGCTTTATCTTTTTTCAATAGGAATAGAACTGTCCATTGATCGAAGTAACCAGAGAACCATTAGGTCGTGTTTCCGTGGGCAGCATCACCGATGACTCTTAGTGTCATTGTTGCTAATCCGGTAATTTTGAATTTTGTCAGCAAAAATTACAAGCGAATATGACCGCTATCACGGAACGACGTTGTCTTTCTTCCAAACTATTTAGATCCCAGCTTGCACGCATAACTTATACACACGTGCTTTTGTAGTGGAGAATTTCTTTGAATTTATGTGCCGTGTGGTCAGTGATGCGGCTATAGGTATGAAGGTGGTTGATTTGATTTCTCGACAAGGCATTTCTCAACAAATTTTTTGGTGTTTATCTTTTCGGTTTTGGTTATATCTGCGCCATATCACTAACAAATCATATCAGACTATTTTTCATGCATCACATGCAATTGAATGAATAAGTAGAACTTTTCGGTTATGAGGGAACAAAAGAATACTCGACCTCTTCTACTGAACAAGGATTTCTTACAGGAGTCTGAGTAATCAGTTGTAAGCTCAGATCTCTGGGTTCTGCCCTATATAACCGATTTTCCAAAATACTCTTTTATAACGCTGTAATCAAAATATAAATTATGTTTTGCATGACCACGCGCTTTTTCTCATTTATATTTCGCTGGAGAAAACTCTTTGCTTGGAGTGCTAGTACCTTTCGCTAGCGCAATTCTCGACGAACTCAAGAATATGTTTGCTTTTGTGGAAAGCTCTTTCGATAGCGCAGCAGTAAAAAGAAAAATTTTGTGTTTTACAGCTCGCAAGACGGAGAACCTTCTTCAAACTATTTGTAGTCATTCGATAGCGCAAGATTCAAGAACTCCAACACTATGATTATTTTCTGGAAAGGTCGTTTTTCTTCAGTGCAATAGGGGCGATAAAATTAGTTCACATGCGCGATCATGTGTTCTTTGGCCAATTCACAGGCGGCGTGGTAGGGCAACAAGGGGACTGTGCGAAGATCAACCGTTTTCCCCACATGGATGTTCGATATTTATTATTCAATTAGGAATTCTCTCTCTGCTTTAAAAGAAAGTCAATATCAAACTATTGACTCCGAAACTACGAAATTTTCTCTACACGGTTTCTGTTGCTTCCAGAAAGGTAACAGCTAGAATACGCGGCCGATGTGAAACATAATTTATTCTGAATATCACAGTGCTTCAAAAAGGCTTTTTTTTTCGAAAAAAAAAACTGGTTACGTGGCGCTCTAGCCAGAGATTTATGCTTCCAGGTGATTTCTAACACTCTTGTGAAAAATTCCTGTACATCGAATTAGGTCGGATATTTCTTTGTTCCCTTATAACGGAAAAGGTCCGAATAATTTATTCATTATCGTTTATTCTACAATTGTCAACTGGTCACAATGCTTATAATATAATACACCTACGCAATAATACAATCTAAACAATACTGTAATCACCAAGTCACCGTGCTTCATCAGCAGTGAGTGCATAAGATTTCGCAGCATGGCAACCAGGCAAAGCGCTCTCTCTTGTGCCAGATTTGCAAAGTGCAACATTCTTTTGATTGATACAGCGCGCTAAGAAGTTCTCTCAAAAAACTGAGCACATTATTGGAAATTTCGAGATATAAATTATAGAATGGTCACTAAAAGTCTTAAAGAAAAGCTTTGGTTAGCGAGAGAGAAGTGCGTGAATGAGAACCATAACTTATTTTTACTGTTACAGTGCAATAATAAAGCTATTTTAAAAAAAAGGACATACCATTCAAATTCTTTTCATTTAAACTATCGAATGGCTACTGAAACTTTGAAAGCAACCAAAAAATACGTCTTTTCTGAGAGGTTGAAACATATTGTGAATAAGGGATGGTACTATATTTTTCTCTTTTACTTTCAACGTTTGCATACTGAACTTTCTGCAACTCTAATAGTGTGCATAATTTTGTAAAAAGAATACTTTTTCTGCGCTATAAGAGAAGAAATAAAATTATGCTCACCCCCAGTCCGCTAATTGCTCGCCTGGGGCATGGACTTTACGTCAAATTCTTATTAGTCATTCGATAGCCCGGTCTAAACGAATGTTACGCCCTAACTAACTCTTGAAAAGATTTTTAATGAGCATTGTAAGAGCGAAAGGAAGGTTGCATCTCACACGCGAAGTAGTTATCCGCCACCTAAAGGTCATAGTTGGTTACTTGGTAAATTGATGTTGTTCATTGTTAGAGGTGCTTCGACGCCACAAAGGATGCAACATCATCGTCAAAGGTGGGGAACGAAGGAAACTTTTGTAAAGGTAAATTTAGGTGAATAATCATGTGTCAGTCAGAAAAATGTACAACCATGTGCCAAAGTCTCACTGTGTCGCCACGACAAAAACACTTCCTTGCTAAAAGGAATTTATTTCCAACTTTGTTGACTACAACTTTTCTTCTCAATGTGCCCTCTCTTTTGTAATCATTAGATGAATCAAAGATGCTGATATTGCTATCAAGCTTGTTTTCGGCAAAAACTCTTGCTCTCTATAACAAAAACATTATGCCTTGCTTCTTGCTTGCTCAGCTGTTTATTTGAACACAACACCGGTTTTTTGGCAATTATATAGGGAAATTTTGATTCTATGGAAGCTTTGTCGCCATAAAAAGATATTATATTTGAAGGAATCTCTGCAAGCGTATTTCTGTACAAAAAAAAAATGTTCACTGATCCTAAAAGATCCTACTCAACATCAAAGCTACGAGTTGATATAACAGTGCGCTTCCAGCTCTATTTTTTTACATTTCTCTGCGAAATTATGAGAATCCAAGTCGAAGACACATTTTTACAATATATGAATCTCATAGGGTACTTGAATGGGAAGATTTTTCAATATTTAGTCGGAGCAAGCCTTGATAAAGTTTGCAATCATTTTGTGGAGCGCCTTTTAAAAAGAGTGCAACTTCGGCACCTCAGATTTTTGGAATTTTCACTGATGTTGCAGATTTACTACTCAGACTGTTTAATAATCAAAAACTTATACGATCAGTACAAATTGATCCAAAATTACTTTTTCTCATCTATTACCACCAATCAGCCTCTGGCCCTTGTTGCAATGGATTTTTTCTTTTTACAGTCAAAAAGTTGTACTTTCGGGCTCTTTCATTACATAATCAGCAGTCACTCGATAGCTTGAAAATGGAGATTTTAGTACTGAGTTGGTATTGCGAAAGACTTTCTTAGTGCGAAGTACTAACGAAAAGAATGTACGCCTTACTTTAGAGACAAACAAGTCCGTTGCTTGAATGAGTTTTGCTGGCAGTTACAAAGCAAAGTGTGATGTTAGAGGCACACTAGCCTGATAAATAATGAAATATTTCTAAAACAACATTCGTAAACAATTTTTCGTGGCGAACGTTCACGCATCCTAACAATCCACGCTCTCCATTGTGAAAACAGCAGCTCAGGGGAGAATGATCATGATTACTACTCTTAATGAGCATTCTTGTTGCCAATGGTGGGAGATTGTGAGCGTATTTTTCCATTAATTATTATTCTCATCGCCATGGATATGTCTGTTCTACAATAACTTTTTAAAACTTTATTAAGCCGTCTTCACTGTTGGTTTCTTTCATTGTGCGCATCCCAGGTCTCTCGAAATACCAAAGTTAGTACTGAAATCTTCATTTTTCAAACTATCGAAAAATTACTAGTAGTATAATGAGAGAGCCAGAAAGTACAACTTCCTGATTGATATGTGAAAATCCAGAAAACTTATCTTGATTAGCTGACGCGTGGTTGGTAAACTATTAGTAGCAATTCGGCTGACGTTTCTGCGACCCACCTTCTCCAGAGCGTATGTGGCATTAGTATTAGTTTATTAGTATTAGAGACTAATACCACATACCCCCAGGCTATAAAGAGTGCGGGTCGCCGAAACGTCAGCCGAATTATTACGACTAATTTACGAACCTCGCGTCAGCTATTCAAGATAAGTTTTCTTGATTTTCATATATCAATTAATTATGCCGAGGTTTATAGAGAGTCGAACTTTTGAGTTTCCTGATTTTATGAAGATAAAATCCATTGCAACAAGGGTCAGTGGCTCACTGATGCTAATGTATGTGCAAAAGTAGCCAATCGGAATTCATTTATTTGACCGCTTCTTGCGGTGGTATGCTCCTGTAATATACCCAATAATGTAGAGTGCTGTGCGAAAGCATTTGTATCAGCCGGAATTCGCACCCAGATCTCACTCTTTCCAAGAGCGTATGCTAACCGTTGCACCACCGACGCAGAAGTGAGCAAGTGTAATTTTTGTTAAGTGGTACTGATTATATAACGTCTTGATCACTGAATAGTCTGAGTAGTAAATCTACAACATCAGTGAAAATTCCAGTAATCTGGGTGCCGAAGTTGCACTCCTTTTGAAAAGCGCTCCACAAAATGAATGCGAACTTTATCAATGCTTGCTCCAATTAAATATTGAAAAATCTTTCATCTAAGTACCCTATGAAATTCATATATTGTAAAAATGCGTTTTTGACTTGGATCCTTAAAGTTTGGCTGAGAAATGTAAAAAAAAGAGCTGGAGGCGCACTGTTATACCAACTCGTAGTTTTAATGTTGAGTAGGAACATTCTTTTTGTATAGAAATACGCCTGCAGAAATTCCTTCGAAAATAATTTATATCTTTCCATGGTGACAAAGTTTTAGGACCAGTGAGTATTCTTTTTTGTATAGAAATACGTTGCAGAGATTCCTTCAAAAATAGTGTATTTTTTAATGCGATAAAGCTTCCACAGAATCAAAATTTCCTATACAAGTGACAAGAAATTTGGCGTTAAGTTAAAAAAAACAGCTAAGCAAACCAAAAGCAAGGCCTTATGTTCTTTCCTACAGAAAGCAAGAGTTTTTTGCCGCAAAGCAAGCTTGATAGCAATATCAGCATTTTTGATTCATCGAATGACTACAAAATACAGGGCACATTGAGAAGAAAGTTGGAATCAACAAAAAGTCAGCAACTTTGAAAATGACTCCTTTTAGCAAGGAAGTGTTTTTGTCGTGGCGAGATAGTGAGTTTATGACACATGGTTGTACATTTTACTGATTGACACATTGTTATTCATTTAAAATTACCTTTACAAAAGTTTCCTTCGTTCCCACCTTTGACAATGATGTTGCATCCTCTGTGGCGTCGAAGCACCTTCAACAATAAACAACACTAATAATTACCAAAAAACCAACTATGACTTTCGAGTGGGGTAACTACTTTGCGTGTGAAATGTAATCGCCCTTTCGCTCTTACAAGTGCTCTATAGAAACCTCTCAAAGAGTTAGTTATAACGTAACAATCGTCTAGACCAAGCTATCGAATGATTAATAAGAATTTGACGAAAAGCCCGCAAACCCCAGGCGTGCAAATAACGAGCTGGGTGTGAAACATCATTTGATCTCTGACTCCTACAGCGCAAAAAGTAGGCTATCTACAAAATCATGGCACCATTGAAATTGCAGGAAGTTCAGTATGCAAACGTTGGGAGTATAGAAGAAAATGTGGTACTTCCCACTATCCACACCCTGTTTCGACCTCTCGAAAAAAAGGTATTTTTTGGTTGCTTTCAAAGTTTGAGTAGCCATTCGATAGCTTAAATGAAAAGAATTTGAATGGTGTCTTATTTTCAAAATAACTTTACTATTTCACTGTAACAGTAAAAAAAAGTTATGCTTCTCGTTCAAGCATTTTTAGCTGTCCAAGGCTTTTTTATGGCTTTTAGTGACCATTCGAAAGTTTATCTCGCGACAATTACAATGATGCATTCAGTTTTTTTGAAGAACTTTTCCGCGTGCTGTATGAATCAAAAGGAATTTTATATTTTGCAAATCTGGCACCAGAGAGAGGTGTTGGCTTGGGCAGTGTTGCAAAATCTTGTGCGCGTATTGCTCACAAAAGAGGGTGGCTTGTTGTCAGTGTTGCATTGTACGAAACTCAAAACTCTTTTACCGCTACGGCGCGCACTAAAAAGTCATTTTTGTAGACCAGACACGTCATTAATGTCGACGAGATTTTTGCTGTCGAATGATTATTAAAAGTCTGAAGGAAAGGCGTTGTTCAGCGAAAAAGTTTTGATGAGGAAAGGGGCCTGTCCTCGTCTATGTACTACGCTGGTCACCGTGGTTTTCATTTCCGTAGACAGATATCCGTTTGCAATTCCAACTACGCCGAATGGTTGATTTTTTCTAAGAAGATTTGTTACTCACATTCATCACCCTGTTATGTATGAAATGAAATACATTGAATAGTTATGGGATTTTGAAGTGTTAATTGTGAAAACACTCATGAGGAGACCCCAACATTGTCATTTGATGATGAGGTTCGTGTCGTAGCATCGTCTCCTTTTGTATTATATCTCACTTATGTTTTCTCAATCGCTGAGAATCTTCACTGAAGTTCTTTCATCTCATTTAGAAACGGTACTATTCTGCTATCGCAATCCATATTTCAATCTTTTAGCGACATGGTACTTTGCAATTTTCCGGACTTTCAGTCGTCTCCAATGGTTCAACTCGCGGCAATTTTAACACTGTTCCTGTTTTCTAGAAAAAATTTTTTTTATATGTTGTAGCAGCGAAAATAAAAGTGAGTCTAACACTCGGCACAAATCATCGCGAGTATTTATGTTATTTAAACGCGTCTTTTATTTCTCCGTTCTATAAAATTCTTAACAATTCCCGTAGCAGAATTTTTTCTCAAGGAAAAACGAGAGGGCAGAGTTTTTTTCCGAAGCGGAGAATGAATTCCTATGTAAATAATTAGATTCGCGCTCAATCCGCGAATAGAGTTGCACGCAGAAATTCTACTGCCGTCTCAGACGGGCTGACTATTTTTGTTGATAAACAACCGTGAATGGTCTTGTAGTCTCTCCGATAGAGCTGGCTTGTCTTTGGAAAACATGCATAGTTTTTCATGTGAGCAAAGTTTTTGTGAATCCATTCACAATCATGCCTCGTAAATTTTTTTGTTTTAATTATTACTTATGGTTCACAAGCCATGGAAGGTTTCGATTAACACATGGAAAAGTGACTAAAATCGTTATCAACGAAACACTTTGTCTTTCACTCCTGTGGTTCTAACGGCATATCCTGTGCCTTTTCATTACGGTGGATTCATGGATTTGAAGAGCAACACTTACCAATGATGCGAAAGCCCCGAAAACTTTAGAAGAAAGCCACTTCCCATACAGCCAGTAACACAGACAAAAGCCAAACATTGACAATTTGATCATGAGAGACTTATATTCGTCAATAATCTCCGACATACACCTTTGAAGGTTTAGCAGTTTTCCACAGCAGGAGAGCTTTCTTCCATGTGATATTTGAGGGCTGATTTGACAATGAGTAAGTTCTTCCTTCTCTTTCGAGAGAGATTGACAAGTTAACCGTGAGTACTCCACGTTCAGAGCATAGCAAGCTATATATTGGATATAAAATGCTACAAGCAATAATAAAAGAAAATCTCACTTCCGCCACCGAAAAATGTCTCCTGTGTGGCAAAGTCGGTTATGACGAGAACGAAGAGGCTGCTAAAAAACTACGCTGCCAAAATCAAAAGGACCAAAGTGGCGATCTACACCTATAACACACGTGCACTTTAATGGGATTTTTCTATAAAAAATTCATCAATACAAGGGAAATGTATAAGGTGCGAAATAGTCGGCCTAACTGAGACGAGAAGATGCCACCCATTTCATGCTGCCTGGAAAAGAACTGTTTCACGGAAAATGCGATTGCAGAGGTGTTGATTCGTCGCATCTCCGAAAAATAACTGGGCTGCTTCACGGTCCCACATCGACGCAGAGGCTTAACATTACTCCATCAAAACTTATCTCTTCTGCTTTCGAAGCTTCATTGGCGGGAAAAAAAGTTCAAAGAATACAACCAGTTCAAAAGTCTTCTCACCGACTTCCTTGACTGTCAGCTTCAACTATTGAAGGAGGAAGACATCCAATCATTGCTCAGCAAAATTGATTGATCATGATGATTATTATATTTAATGATTAATTGATTTCTCTGATCAAACAACAACTGAAATAACAGATGTGGCGAAGTGTGAAGGGAATAATGGAGCGGCCCATTGAAGCGAAAATCAAAATTTAGGCATGTAGATTAATAAAACAAGGTTTCTTCAACAATCCTGTTACGAGAAACCTAGAAATTTCTGCGAAGCGAAGAAAAAATCTTTGAATAAATAACCATAAAGGAGCGATGATTTGCGCCGAGTGTGAGACTCAATTTTATTTTCGTCGACAACAAAGCGTCTTGTTTATGAAACAGGCACAGTATCGAAGTCACTAATATTTTAGCTACCTAATGACCATTAAAAATCTAAAAAAGGCTTAAAATTCTGTGTCTCAGAAGGTTGAAATATGAATTGCGATAATAGGATGCCGTTAAAAGAGTAGACAGAAAAACTCATCAAAGAGACTTTCTGTGATTAAATAACATAAGTGAGAAATTATAAAAAGACTATGGAGCGAGCAACGTAAGCAAATGACAATGTTGGAGCCTTCTCATGGGCACAAACACATTGAGTGACTTCAAAATAGCTGTGGTATAATGCTACACATATACCCAATGCTGTAGAATGATGTGCAAAACTTTTGCGTCATTTAGGAGACGAACCCACGTTTCACTCACACTACAGGAGGCGCGTGCTCTAAACCGTTGCACCATCGACGCCTGTTTTGCCTTCAGTGTTTGTTGCCGCTTCTTTGTCAATCATTTTTTGCATGTTAACCCATTTAAAATGTGCAACTTTATGGACTTTTTGTCCTATGTGTACGAAATTTAATGTATGAACCAACCAAAAGGGTCTAAAAATTCTTTTCTTTTTCGAAAAAAATGAGTATCGGACCACAGAACTGTGATCTCAAGAAACTACTGACAAACATGCTGAGTCACCATATAAATCAATGAATCGACAGAAAGAGGAGATCTAAAGAGGAAAAGATTCATGTTTGGTAACTGCAAAAATTAGAAGTGTTCAACAATTGAGACGACAGCCAGGCAATATCCAAAAATCTCAATTACATGGCTGAGTATAAATTGATATTAGTCAATAAAAAGAATAACCCACCAGAAGAAGTGGATGCTTAGAAGAGGAATAGGCTTCTAGAAGCTGGCGGCCGCCAACAATGTGCATGGATGGCACCACGACATCAAATATTGGTTCATAATCGTGGCAGGACCCATCGGCGACTAGGAGCGCAACCAACTACGACTTGTCAGCCATGCTG